TTGTAGCCTTCTTAGTAAAATACAACCAAGTAACAAGGTCACCCAGTGCAGTGATTGACTTTTGCAAATATACATGGAGTGGATGTGTAGTTGTTCACTTAACTAAACAGCAGGAGGCAAACGGTTCGGTATATAGAATAACTTTATTTCATGCAAGAATATAGGATAAACCTTGCCTGTAGGAATTACCCTAGAGAGGGAATATCACATTTACAAGAAGGGCATAAGAAGAACAGAGTATAGGTGAAGTATAGAAACTTATAGAATTGGCAGAGAGGGGAAAAGGCACCCTTTATATATCTTTTCTGTCCCAAAAAAAAGGTACACAGTATGTAAGGGGATATTGGGGGATGAGCAACATTAGTGGGGGAAGTTGGAGAATTGTGTTGGAGAAAGTTGGGAGAATGTACTGGAGGAAGTTGGGGGAATATAAACATTACTCAATTTGTTTATATTTATTTATTGTTTGTAAAGAGAAACTTGGGAGAGGGGAACCTGGGTGTAAGGATTAGAATCGGTCAAAAATTTTTAGTTGATTAGTCAGTCGACTAAAACTGTTAGTCATTGACTGACTAAAAATTGACTAATAAACTAATCGACTAATCGATTAGTCGATTAGTCAACTAGTTGATTAGTTGATTAATCAATTAGTTGATTAATCGATTAGTCGATTAGTTGATTAGTTGATTAGTCGATTAGTCGACTAGTCGATTAGTTGACTAGTCGACTAGTCGATTAGTTGATTAGTCGATTAGTTGATTAGTTGATTAATCGACTAGTCGACTAGTCGATTAGTTGACTAGTTGATTAGTCGACTAGTCGATTAATCGATTAATCAATTAATCAATTAATCGATTAGTTGACTAGCAACTAGCAAATTAGTTAATCAATAACCAATAGTTTTAGTCAACTAACTAATTGACTAAAAATTTTGTAACCCAAAAATGTATACTAGGTTGCACTCCGGATGATTATGTGACAGTTCAGAATGAATATCTGGAAAAAATTTTAAAGTCTGATTTAGCACATAGTTTCATATATTTATTTTCATTAATTATGTACTTCGCATAAATATTACAAGATATAATAATACGTATACATTTATAAAAGGTTAAAAACTTTTACATTATTAATTTTGTTTATTCGCGTGAATGTTTTTGATAAATTATACATTTTTTTCAGAAGTTTTTCTTTGTATATGGGTTTTCATTATTGTCTGGTCGATATTTTCTTGAGAAAACTTATACTTCCTTCGTTGTACTGATACAGATTGTAATTGAATTTTTGCTCAACATCGTAATGATTCAGCCTTTATAGTAAAATTCTGTTAATAAAGATAAGATGCCAGTTTGCCCAATGATATAGATTCAGCCTTTTCACATTCTTAAAATTTTTAATACCAACAAATAGTTGTCCATATACAGTATCTTTTTTTCACGAAAAATAACTTTATTACTTGATTTTCTTTAACAATAAAGGTTTTGGTTAACTGTATATTGGTCTTTGATATTTTCTGACCGATTTAAAGCACCTTCGTTACTGTTAAGATCCACATATAAAACTACATTAAGCTGTCAATATTCGTATTATTGAGTAAAAAAATTTTTTGAAGTGGAGTAGGTAATCAGCAAGGTTGAACGAATCGGTTTGTATTTTTATTATTATTTAATTCTATCTTTTTTCATTATTTATATGAAATGTGATGCGAAGTGTGAAACAGAATATGAAGCGAAATATGAAGTGAAATATGAAGCGAAATATAAAGTAAAATATGAAGTGAAATATGAAGTACAATATGAAGTGAAATATGAAGCAAAATATGAAGCAAAATATGAAGTGAAGCGAAATATGAATCAAATACGAAGCGAAATATAAAGCGAAATATATGAAGTGAAATATGAAGCGAAATATAAAATGAATTAATAAAGAAACGAATTAGCCTTTAAAATAACGATAATTACTATAATCATAATGACGAATCTGCAAAATTATTATAGTAGTGTAACTGATTATAGAAGAGCTCAATACGTAAAACAATATACATATTGCATATTATTCTTAATTTGTTAATTTATTAATTGTTAATGTGGTAAAAAAAAAAAAATCATCCACAGTGTGATAATATTTAGATAATCTTGCTATTTATAGCATTTGTTTAAATGAAAGAATAATTTAGCATTATTATTCTTAAATACAGAAAAATTTGTTGTATATTATTTCTCCGGATCTTTGTTTGACCACTGAATATTAGGCATTTTATATATTATTGATGGTCTAATGCAATCTTTACGTAAACGTAAATATACCAAATTGGCAACAGATTTAATATGAACATTTAACAATATGAAAGCGTTATTTAACTATGTCAATGATGCTGAGATGGATGATGCTGAAATTTGTAGATTCAACCAATCAGGTTTCATAAAGGGAACCATTCTGAAATGTTCTGAATTAGACTCGAGTAATTTTTGCATGTCTTTATATTTTGATTAAATAATAATAATTATTATTAGTATTATTTTGAATCAAATGTTATTATTTTGTTTATGATAAAGTAAATTGTTTTTGTAAAGGAAATTGAAATTTTGAAAAATTTGGCTGAAGAGTAATGAATAATGAAAAATTAACTTGGTGTGGCATTGGGAATCAATTAAAATAATTTATTCATGCTTATAGCTATTTACTGTAGAGGTGGAAACAACAATTATACGACAGAAAATTTCATTTATCAGAGTTAATGTTACTCGTAGCTGTACATAGAAACGATATTAATTTTAATAAAAAAACACCGAAATCGCTATTTTTCATCATTATCCGTATTGTACACTTAGATAATTACTTGACTGATATATTGTATATCGATAATAAAAATCAGCAGGATGGCATGTCACAATGTCCAATTGGTTTCAATTTTTTTGGACATACGTCCAAAAAAAATTTGAAATCAATTAGGTGCCATCCCTGAAAATTAGCGTAAATAAATGCTATATGTTATCGATTTAATTGTCGAAAAAGTAATCTTTTGAAGAGTTAAGTAACCATCCAGCAGTCATATTGATTATTAACAGTCTATTTTTTTTTTTAGGCTTTCTGTTTCTAGTTTTGCGTGATAATGTGCGCAGCTATCTAGTTAGGTATGTTTATGCACTAATAGCTATATTTACACTCCCGCTGGCATACTTACGCGGATATAGAGATGTTTACGTTTCCATCTCTAAGTTATTTTCTTGTAATTATGTGAATATAGCACTGTAACAGGTTCAAATAGCTACACTGACATGTCTATATGCCTTGAGTAACATTTATGTGATTAAGCCATCAAGTCAACCATCATATAAGTTATGAAATGTTTAAAAGAAATCAATAAATATAAGCGAAAAGGTACTAACTAAAATATAAGTTTAGAAAAAAGTAAAGAAACTAAATTTAATTCGTTATAATAGATTTACTGTTCATACATACATATGAGTAATAGTCGATTTACAATAAAGAAAATTTTATTTAACCCCGTAATAAAGCTATATGTTAAAAACTAGTTACTTCTAAAAATAATGTTTATAATAAAATTATTTTCTTAAAATGGATCACAATATTTTAAATTTCTTTTTAAAAAAATTAATTGATTTAAAGTTTCTGGCGATAGTTGATTTCTAAGTGCAGTTACATGATTTCCTGCATCAGAAAATAATCTTTCTGATGGAACAGATGTAGCAGGAATTGCTAAATACTTATGGGCTAATTGTGATATAACAGAAAACCAAGTATAATTTTGTCTCCACCACATAAATGGATCATTAGTTTCAAGTAGTGGAATTTGTGGCATATCAATATACTTTGTAAATTAATTACAAATATTAGTATCTTGTTGCTGTATAATAAGTTCTGAAAATAGTTCAGCTATTAAAGATTGAGATTGTTGTGATTGAGATAATTGTGCAGAATTTAAATTATTTTCTTTATGAGAATCTGCAATTGACTCTTTAAGTTTATTAAATTGATCTTTAATATCATTATGAATTATACGTCGTTTAGTCTAAAAATAAAAATATTTATTATTATTTGTATTTTAAATATATTGTATTTATAAATTTTTTATAATAAATTAAATTTTTACTGAAGAAATAAAGTTTAATGCCTTAAATCTTGGATCTAAAAATGATGCATATAATTCATAATTTGAAGGAACTTGCTAACATTCTTCAAGATTTTTAAGAAGTAATTTTTGCATAGTTTGAACAATATTATCGTCATCATTTGAAGTAACATTTTTTAAATTTTGGATTAAAATTTCAATAGCCAGAGTTACTAAACTTAAGGTACAATAATTTTTTCCTCCAAGTAATCGTGTTGTTTTTCAAAAGGTTTAAGAAGAGGAATTAATTTTGAAAGAGTTTCAAATGTAGATGGTAAAGGTAAAATTCTTGTAATTTAGTTCTTTCTCTACGACTTTCATAACGAGCACTATTACTTAATGTATTTTCTAACCAACGAATAGGTCTTTCTAAAAGAATAAGCTGTTCTAAAGCAAAATATATCGAATTCCATCTAATATAATAGGCTTAATTATATCAACTGAATTTTGGATGCCTGTTGCTTTTTGAGCTTCTTGAAGTTCTTGTCACTTTTTATTGCTAGATAAATGTGCAATTAATTCTTTGCATTGTTTAATTGTAACTTCAATTGTTTTAAGGCCATGATTAATACTAAGTTGCAAAGTATGAGATGCGCAAGGAATATTTACAATATTATCAAACTTTTCAATAGCAGCTTTAATATTTGCTCCATTATCAGTTAAAATTGCGATAATTTTTTTATCAAGTTTCTAATCCTCAATTACTTCTTGAATCGTATTGTAAATTTCTAAATGACCATGAGGATAAGGTAATTCAATCATTTTTAGAAGAATTTCTTGTATTTAAAAATCTTCAGTTAACCAATGACATGTAATTCCTAAATACGAATCATGTCTTTTTGAACTCCAAATATCAAGAGTTAATGCTATAGTATCTGCTTCTAAAATTTTTTGTTTTAATATAACAACACATTTGTTATATGCCTCAAATAAATAAGATTTAAGTGTTTTAACACATGGTGCTTTATATAATGAGTCAATTTCAAAAATAAATTTTCGAAAATGTTCATTTTCTATAAGAGACAATGGCAAAGCTGTAGCTACAATAAATCTTTTTAAACTCAGAGTAATTTCTTCTTGTCGTTAAAAAGAATGTTGTTTAGGAATTGATTCTTCTAATGATAATTGCCAAACTTTTTTATTTTTAGTTTCTTCTACTGTACTATTTGTAATTTTGTGTTCATTTCGAAGGTGTGAATTCATGTTTGTTGTAGAACTATGAAAAGTAAATACAGTTTTGCATTCTGTAATTTTACATTTTGTTTTTTTCTTTTTGGTAGCTGGATCTGTATATACAGTAAAATATTTTCGCCAAAGAGTTTCAGAATCTGAATTAT